TGCAATGAGGAACATTAGTGAGGAGAAAAAGCAAAAAGCACCATAGAAAACACTAAATTTCCCTTAGGAGGCCGGCCGTAGTACGACGGAGAGACACAGCGCTGCGAGGAGAGGGAGAACGCGAGATAGTACGTCGTACGCGAGAGGACGCAGAGACCACGTATGCCGTGGTTGATAACGCTGGCAGCACGGCAGCACACAAGGCAAGGCCTTAGCGCCGTTGCCTCGCACTTTTGAGTCGCGACAGTGTCGTGCCTCCTGCCCTTGGGGACCCCTCTCCTTCACTCTAGAAGGGACTGGCTCTTGGGACCTAATCCCGACTCGTGGCTTTAATGAGGTCAGCACTAATAAGACTAGACGGATTCTAGGCCGTTTTCCTCATTATTTCCTTCGTCCCTGCATCACTGATCACCTCTATCTTGATTTCTAATAAGCTGTTTTTTCAACGTAAAGTCCGCCTTTTATGTGCAGAGGGATCACAAGGTGCGAAAATATTTAGTGGGGAAAATGGAAATAGGGACCTTTATCGTGGAGGGTTGACATAGTTGCGAGAGAGGCAGTCCAATAAACAATGAGCGTCGACGTGAGTGACCGTAGAGTGAATCGGCGGACATCGTGCCATTGAATCGTGAGCAAGAGTCGGCGGCCGTCATGGCAAGGCGTTAATGTTTTCGACGACCATTGTGAAGCAGCTTCCACCATTGTGAGTAGTTCTATACACCCCAGAAAAGAGAATAAGCCGTTCATATTCAAGGTAGGAAACGCATATAATCTCGCTTTTTATTGCCCACAATCGTCCACAACCGCTTGTAACCGCATCACTGGAAGAAGAAGGGGTAGGAAATCTTCCTTGACCTTGGCACTTTTTGCCCGTCTTTAAAGCTCTCCTCATTGGATGAATTCCGTCTAAAGATCGAAGATGTTGTGACAAAGCTTAAAGGCAGCGATTACGATAAATTCAAGAAGGGTTTATTGTGACGTGGTGGTGCTCAATGGTACGCCAGTGGCGAAAAAAGCAGAAAAATCCGTCAAGAAAACGCAAAACGGGACCCCTTTTTTGGCCGTTGGTTTTCACTCATGAACAGGTAACAGCTCAGAAAGTGGACGTATGAACGAGTTCACCGCAACGCGTTTGATGGCACCATGCCAAATCACGCTTTAATCGAGATGCTCCATTTGCGCCGCTGCTGGCCACGCAGCTCGTCCAAATCAACAAGTAAACTAGTGGGCGGATCGCTTTTGGGGGCGGAGCGCTTTCGAAGTCCTGCTCAGCATTCGTCGAAGCGCCACACCTCGCTTCCTTGGCAGCCAAGTAACTGATTCGTGTGGTGCATATGCTTCCCCGATGCGCTCCCTCTTTATCGTAATCGCTGCCTTTAATACATACGAGTTCGAGAGTTCTCAACAGATAAGAGGACATATAGAAAACGTGATATCCTGCTTAGTGAGCGTGCGACAAGCGATTATTCGATATTATCGGAGTATAGTTATCTCATCGTGAGCTCCTAGCACCAAGTTATGCTCTGGGTATGGGCCAAAGATTTAGGCCGCTGGTATGGGCGAGCCAAAATTCGCATTCCCAATTCACCAGGGATTTCGAGATGTGCGTCGAGTTCGGACGCATACATTATGAGAGGGCTATTTGATCTGAAGGTATGGAATGAACGGCCACAGTGGGGACGTTTTGGTGTCACACCTTTTTCACCAGTTTTTTAATCAAAGTCTATTTGTAGGGTTACTGACAGGTCCTAATCATGAATATGGTACTAATTATTCATGCTAACTCCATTTTCGCAACTCGAAATGCAAAAATTTGTCACCACGAGGAATCGAACTAGGGACCCCCTTTTCTGGTATTCAGAGGGCCGTTCGGGAATGGTTCTGTGGTACCAACATGTGCTCCATATATCATGCAAAAGACCGTTTTCAAAAAGCTCGTCGCCTAAAAGACCTTCCTGTATCATCGACCGCTGGAAAGTGCTTTCATTAGCGAGAAAGGCTTTGTAACGGAAGAACCATTCTCAGACGCAGTCCCATGCAGTCATAAGGACATTGTAAAAAAGACCAACGAACACAGGCATCGTCATTTGAAGACAAATGCAGGAATCTGTTTTAGTGGAAGGTGAGCTCATTAAATGGCTCCATACATGGACTCGGAGCGGATGTGGGTGGGTGGCCACGGGGGGTGGTAGAGCGTCTTTCAGTTTAGCGGGGGGGGCAGCATGATGCAGGTTCTCGGTGAGCTTGACTTCCAATTTTCACGCCATGTCAAGTGACGCCCCTCACCACCCCGGACTGGCTTCTACTTCCCCCTGGTGGTTAGCTTGGAGTTACCTAGCTTTCCGAAGATTCTTCCTCATGATGCCTGGACTGGAATAGACCCGTGGTGGTGCTTACACGCGCGGTTCGCGGTGAATGCCAGTCTGATCGCGCGCTCGCTCGGGACCAACCTCTCATCCCTTCCGAGCGTTCGATAAGATAACTGAATATTGTACCAGACTTGTCTGAGAGGTCATGCAAAACGCTGACTTGTACCATCAAATGGCCCCAGCGCAGTCATTGTATAGGCGAATCGCCCTACGAGTACAAAATGGGAGAAAAGATGTGCAAACGCCAAAACGGGTTTTGATAAATGACAAGGTTTAGCTTGTGTCCTCTGTACTCGGCCACTGTTCAACACTTTGAGAAGGTTCACAAGTATCAACCGGCTTAGGTTGTTTTTTATCGCGCTCGACTATTGAAAGCTCAGGTTCATTTTGAATTCTTGTTGTCACAGTGTAATTTGCAGAAGATTTTCTTGGAATTTGGCTCTCGTTACTGGAATTTCAGTACAACTCTCAATTTTTGCTATTCTTTTCCCTCCATTAACAAGGATGATGCGCATCGAAGCAGGCGTGCCTTAAACATTCAACTTTTAAAATTAATCTAGTACAACAGATGAACTGTTGCAGAAAAGGCGATTTCACCAAAGACTTGGTTCTACTGTACATGCTTTGCACGGGAGTCTGCTGTCAGTTCCCTCATCGCCGCTAACGTTTGCAGTCCAAAATTCTTTAACAGACTATTTTCGCTACATTCTCCAACTTACTTCAAAAAATCAACAAATCCGTAGAAACTCCAGCAACTAAAAAACTCAGTTCGTCAAAACATTTGAGGAGCGTGTTATACGACGTCATCCAATGGTGCAAACCATGATGAATGGAAACAGCTGAGTAAATGATGAAGACTCACTTTTTCACCCTTCGTACCATCTTTTTCACCTTCGCGATGGATTTTGTACATCTCGTAATCTGAAATATACATTAAATGTAGAGCGCAATTTCTACATTCATCTCAGAAAATCTCACAAAATGCAATGAAGACGAGAAAGTTCTCATACACATATGCTCAGGGCTAGAGGATAAAAGATTCGGGAATGGAAGCACGGTCAACCGTCACGTTGGACCAATTTCGAAATTTTACGACCCCTTCCCCCCTTTTAGAGGGCCTCGATACGACCCCCTCTCCATCGCCATCATGGGGCGATTCTATAGTATTCTGATTCTGAGACCAGTCGACACAGCCCAACCCCGCCCACTTCTTCCTCCAAAAGTCGTCGAGCGGGAATATATATCGAATGTGAAACGGCAAAATTTTCGCACTCAAAATCCCAGCCAACAACCTAATCCGTTCCATGAAAAATCATCCCTTCCCTTACTGTAACATTAACGCTACCTCGCGAAATACGACCCCCCTCTTTTCCCCCCCAAATACGACCCCCACCCCCTCGTTGGACTTTGTCCAACGGACGGTTGGACCCTTGAATGGAAATCGTAAGGACCAATGGCGAAC